AGAGAGAGAGAGAGAGAGAGAGAGAGAGAGAGAGAGAGAGAGAGAGAGAGAGAGAGAGAGAGAGAGAGAGAGAGAGAGAGAGAGAGAGAGAGAGAGAGAGAGAGAGAGAGAGAGAGAGAGAGAGATCAGGACATAGATGAACAGTAAATGTTTTTTTATATTACATAATATTATGTATAATTTATAGTGAGCGTCTACCCGTAAAACTCATTATTGATTTGCCTGCGTAGTACGTCTTTGCGCAAAAGGCGCTTTACAAGGCGCATACAACGCGTAATAAAGGCAAATGCAAAAATGGCCCATTTATTTACCACTGACTTATAGGCGTATTATGCCTATATCAGGAGCGTATAATGACAAATACGCTCCTGCGTTTGTCATTATACGCTCCTGCCTATATGCATATATATGCCTATATGCCAGGCTAATCATTTGTTCGCCTTGTATTTCCATCGTCATCGATATCGTCATGATCGTCGCGAACGTTGTTAAATATTTACACCGGTAGCTGGCGGCGCGGAGCTGCGCAAGCGCATGATGTGAACATCGAAAATCCTGAATTTTTGGATTTGTATGTGAAATGTTGTAATATCAGTTATTTCATGAAATTCCACGACCACAGATGCAGTCCCAGTTGCAGAATACTTAGCGGCACTCCTCTGCCTACTGTTCCTGATGGTTTTTATTTACGGTTTAGTGATTAAAGTGGTGTAAAAGTTCCCTGTTTTGATGCTACCCCCGTCGTCCCATTTCCAGACTGTCAAAATGGCTGCTCGACCATGTTTATTCCTTGCGGTTGCTCTCTTCTTAGGAAGTAAACTGTATAACGGCTGATCTATATGTCCGTGTTTAGTAGTGCAACAAATAGTATGCCAGATCAGATCAGCTATGACTTCACGTCGGAGGAAAATGCGTATAAGTGGAAGGGTTTATTTGTTGAATCCTTGCAAAAGGTTTGTATTTGTATATCTTTCATGTTAGAATTTAGATGTTGTTTACCTTCGTTTATAACGCAATCGTATAGAGTTCGTTTAACGAAAACCTGATAAGCACGCTATTTTATTTACGCATTTAAGTAGGCTGTTGTCTGTTTTAAATTGTTTGTCATTTGATATATTATTACTATGCCTTAGCCCCTATGACTCGAGTATGATCACAGGCACTTGGAACGTCTCAATAATAAAAAAAGGTAAATAAACACGAAATGTACCAAAGTCTTAATGTTTCTCTACTCTATTTCGCCTATAATCACCTGTAAATGCCGGTCAAATGCTCATCTGCAACACACAAGTACACCGAACGCCCGCCCGCGCTGTGCTGCGTGCACAAACAACATGAATAAGAGAGCAGGTAAGAAAGCGGGATTGAAAAATTCGTTCGACGCTCACTTCATTTCACACCATCACAGCTCGAATACACATCCTACAGCTTCCATCTTGGTATCTATGTGTACATAAATGTTCACTTGTTCGAATTATAACTCTGGCCTTTGTTCTTACCTACTCCCGCCAGAGATATCTCGTGAAATCTAGCAGGAAATGTTCTCTCCGTGAAAATGTAGAGGACGAAATGTCTGTTTATACACGAGTAATGGGGCGCATTGCATGCCGGGATGAGCTGCTGCCGGCCTCCGAGCTCCATTTCGAGGCCCGCCAAGCCAAGCACAATGCGCGCGGGCATGACGTCACGCAGACACGACTACAGCGATCGATCGAAAGTAGTGCCGTTAGAAATTTTTGGAAGATAACGTCCTCTTTACATTTTCACGGAGAGAACATTTACTGCAGGATTTCACGAGATATCTCTGGTGGGAGTAGGTAAGAACAAAGGCCAGAGTTATAATTCGAACAAGTGAACATTCATGTACACATAGATACCAAGATGGAAGCTGTAGGATGTGTATTCGAGCTTTGATGGTGTGAAATGAAGCGAGCGTCGAACGAATTTTTCAATCCCGCTTTCCTACCTGCTCTCTTATTCATGTTGTTTGTGCACGCAGCACAGCGCGGGCTGGCGTTCGGTGTACTTGTGTGTTGCATCGAGCATTTGACTGGCATTTACAGGTGATTATAGGCGAAATATAGTAGAGAAACATTAAGACTGGTACATTTCGTGTTTATTTACCTTCTTTTTTTTTATTGAGACGTTCCAAGTGCCCGTGAGTATGATATTGTCAGTGGTAGGTAACCGGTACCCTTACTGGTTAGTTGGCATTGCTTGCACCTGAATCACAGGCACTTGAAGCGTTTCAATAAAATATAATGCTAACTAAATACGAAATCTATTTACTACCAAATTCTTCATGTTTCTATACTCTCTTTCACTTATTATTTGCCGACAGTTTCCTGTAAATTCCGTCCCAAATCTAACGTGGCAGATCCAATATCACGCTGCCGGCGCCATTGCTCTCGCGGCTCCACTGTTGCACGCTTACACTAATATATATAGCAGGTAGGAAAGCGGGATCGCAAAATTCGCTTGACGCTCGCTGGATTTCACACTTTCACAGCACTAATACACATCCAACAGCTGCCATCTTTGTTTCTATGTCAAGAACAGTGTTCACTTGTTATAAAAACATACTGTCTCTGTTCTTAACCGAGCTGTGTCACGCAAAATCACACAAAGACTGACGAAATTCTCGCATTCGCGAACCTTCCACAGTAATGTAAATGGCTGTCAGAATCAGGGGCGGGCTATATAGACTGGGACTCGCTCCCACCTCGATTACCCATCGAGTGACTAAGCTAAGCCGAGAGGTGGGAGCGAGTGCCAGTTTATGGACTATAGGCGGCGTGCAGGCGGCACACTGCTTTCCAACTCTCGTACGAGCCTCGCCATTGGAACGTTACAAAAACGTTGCAGCGTTGTGGCGCAAGAATGAGGTCACAAAGAGCGCCGGTATGTGTTTCCTGATTCTGACAGCCATTTACATTACTGTGGAAGGTTCGCGAACGCGAGAATTTCGTCAGTCTTTGTGTGATGAACAGAGACAGTATGTTTTTATAACAAGTGAACACTGTTCTTGACATAGAAACAACGAATTTTGCGATCCCGCTTTCCTACCTGCTATATATATTAACTTGTAAGCGTGCAACAGTGGAGCCACGCGAGCAATGGTGCCGGCAGCGTATATGGTTGCACGTAGGATTTGGACGGAATTTTCAGGAAACTGTCGGCAATAATAGGTGAAAGAGAGTATAGAAACATTAAGAATTTGGTAGTAAATAGATTTCGTATTTAGTTAGCATTATATTTTATTGAAACGCTTCAAGTGCCTGTGAGCTGAATAGATACAATAATGTAACCCAACAAGAGTAGGGTTACAACGCGAGCCTATTTTTTTCTTTGAATGAGCCCCTGAGTGATTCACTCAGGGCAGTTTTATGGTGCGTTTTTCGAGACTAGAACTTCCAAACTGGGCTTATTGTAAACACGAACCTTTCTCTGCTATCCTGGGACTTACTATGTATCACAATACTCTGTATTAACCTAATATAATCTGTTAAAAAGTTTCGAAGTGACGAGCGGCGATATTTCGAGCGCCATTTCTGTTGACCTGTGACGTACGCATTTCCAAGGTGGGTAGCATTCGGCTACCTTCTGCTCAGGGCTCGAATTAAGCGATGAGAAGGGCAAGGCAATTTTTTTAGGGCATGTGAGAAATCGCCTTGAATTTTCTCTAAAATGGAAGGGTACAGAGGCAATTTTAAAAGGCACCAAGGCAACTCTCAACATTTGAGAAGGGCACCAAGGCACTTTTCTAAAATAAAGGAAAACTCATAACAAATTAGTACATCAGCATCGGCTTGCTTTTAATGTACAAAACAATATGCCCCCATGTAAGCTTACACCGTAACACCGACCCCTGTACCCCCGTCTGCTAATGGAAGTACAGTAACAAGAAATTTTACATGCCCGCTATCAGGAGCGAATAATTATCCGATGCTGTTATTATTCCCTCCTGCGACTATCGGTTTCAAGCTCATCATTGCAACTACAGCACACGCACGCACGTGCGTTATGTTGACTCGACTAAAAACGAAACTAGGGCAGTAGATTAAAGGGCACCGACGGCAATTACACAAAAGGGCAAGGCAGGTGACTGCCGTCGGTCGGGTTGGATTTTCAGGCGCAGTACGGCGATTGATAGGGGCACAGACGGCCAGTGTCGTCGGTACCGTCGGTTAATTCGAGACCTGCTTCGGCTCCTGTGTTGCCTGACATGCTGGCTCTGGTGACGTCATGACTGACAGCAGGCATCCCATGATGCATTCAATCTTGGAGCCGAAGTTAGCCGAACGCTATACGCATTGGGAATGCGTACGTCAAGAAGACTTTGGAAGACCCGCTACGAACCCTGGTCTTACCCTCCAGCTCGGTGATCTTGCCGACGTATTGTACCGCCTCCATCTGTGCTTCCTCCAGCTCAGCTGTAACGAAGCAACTCATTATCAGCTAATCACTAATTAATTAAACAACACAGATACAGCTAACAACGATGCTAGCAGGATACGTAACTAACTGTATATCACTCATCAGCTAAACAACACTGTTGTACAGATACAGCTAACAGCTATACTAGCTAGCTACGTAACTAGATAACTGTGTATCACTCATCAGCTAAACAACACTGTTGCACAGATACAGCTAACAGCTATACTAGCTAGCTACGTAACTAGATAACTGTGTATCACTCATCAGTTAAACAACACTGTTGCACAGATACAGCTAACAGCTAGGCTAGCTAGCTACGTAACTAGTAAACTGTGTATCACTCATCAGTTAAACAACACTGTTGCACAGATACAGCTAACAGCTTACTAGCTAGCTACGTAACTAGATAACTGTGTATCACTCATCAGTTAAACAACACTGTTACACAGATACAGCTAACAGCTAGGCTAGCTAGCTACGTAACTAACTGTGTATCACTCATCAGCTAAACAACACTGTTGCACAGATACAGCTAACAGCTTACTAGCTAGCTACGTAACTAGATAACTGTGTATCACTCATCAGTTAAACAACG